TACTTTCCTTCTATCCCACAGTTATGAAAGTCATCAGACAGCATCTAAGGCCTATAAGAGAGATTTCTCCTTCTTCTTGGAACCACCTCTCATGTTTTCTCCAATGTATTTGAAAAATTGCCTTGATTGATAACCTTGTTCATTCCATTGCTATAAAAACTCCATGAATCTGCTCGCATGATGAAATATGGAACATTGGATAAATGAAACTTATGTTTCTCTGACCATGGACAGTCAGATTTGGTCCCAAATCAATTATCATTTATTCCCTTCGAGGTGAGGGCTGTGGTTTTTTTGGGGGGAGTGTCATTTGTTTTATTTTGGGGGGGTGTGTATTGACATTAACAACCTCTTTCAAGAATGGAATATTTTCAGCAATCAGCTACTTAAAGGAGTGGAAAAGGGGGTGCTGGGTATCAGGCAAAGAGAATGAAAGTATGAAAGCTCTGGTACCAAAAGAGTAGTTTGCCATTTTTTTTTTTTAGAAGTTAAAATAAGATGTGGTAATATATTTTTTCAAGGTGCAGCAGAAGGCATAAAGCAAAGAAGTGGAATGATCTAATTTACATTTTTAAAAGATTATTCCCTGTTTCACAATCAATACTTGAAACAAGGCTCCAAGACGAAGAGATACCAGGCAAGAATGAATACTGAAGAGACAGTACATCTTGCTTTTATAAGAAAATTTCCATTGCTTTAAGGTCAAACAAAATTTGGGGTTCAATTATAGAATAGTTGGCTAAATTTATAGCTAGCTGAATAAAAATGTGCAAAGATTCTTATTGTTCTTAATTGTTAATATAAGAATTTGAACTGAGCTTGTCTTAGCAAAACTCTCTATGGCATATATGACATTATGGACAATATATACCAGTAGGGACATAATTTTAGCTGATACTGAGTTAGGATAGTAATCAATATTTCATATTAAATAAAAATGCATTTAATTTTATGTAGTGTTGAATCATACCCAGGACATCACACTTGCTCAGCAAACACACCTGCCAACTAAACTGTACCCCAATCATTTTTCTTGTTCTTATAAGACAATATTTTATTCTATAGCTCAGAATGGCCTGGAACTCACTGTTAGTTATAGCAGCCTTGGAGAAAGAGATCAACATGGCCAACAGCATTTTTCATATTAGGAAATTCATAGGTTGGGAGTGGGAGAAAAACTACCCTCTACCTCAAGGAAGGAATGCATAGTACCCCAGGGCACACTATCATGTTGGAAGGACAGATGAAAACAAATATATTTAAAACAGTTTCAAATGTGATAGACCAAAGGACTAGTGCTGAGAAGGGATATAGAACAGAGGAAAATACTATATTCTGAATTTAGTTTAAAACATAAAATAATTGGAGAAGCTTTAAATTAATAATAAAGTTATACTATGAAATTAGCACTTTTAACAATGAACAGGATGCTCATTACATTAGTTGTATTGGAAGGTCACAACATGGATATATTGGCTTTAGTATCTTTGGCAAAGATCATGGCACATATAAAAAATTGTAGTCCTCTTTATATCATTATAACTTTATAAATGAATTCACACACGGTTGTCAAGAAGATAATTGTTCATTAAAGACTTGAAGAAAATAATTAATTATGGGACAAGATATAATGTCACATATTTAAGGACAGACAAGTTTTATATGGTAAGAATTGGAAAGGGACTGGGGAGGTGACTCAACAGTTGAGAGCACTGGCTGCACTTCCAGAGGACCCAGGTGTAGGAGGAGCTAAGGTGGGAGGAGTAAGAAGAGAAAGAGGAAAAGGAAGAGGAGGAGCTAGAGAGAACTGAGATGTAGGAGGATGGAGAATCACGCAGGTATGGAGATCAGTTGCGGATAACAACTTATATTTAGGTTAGCTAATTGGGAAACATCTATAATTATGTGGACATGTTGTTATTGAACACTACTAAATATATAAAGCCTTTGATTAATATTTAAGCATTAGATTCTCATTTTCCTACCAGGCCCACATGGACGGCAGGATGGTGTAGGCAATGCTCATCCTTGGAGAGATAGTATGGAATATTGGCAGAGCTATTTCCCACGCTGGAATCTCGTGGGTGGCAGGGCCATAGTATGGAATATTGGCAGAACTATTTCCCACACTGGAATCTCGTGGGTGGCAGGGCCAGTGTTTCTGGCTGCCTGAGCTAGCGGTCTGAGCCAAGCAGCCACAAAAATATGCTGCCACTGCTCGTGACCACAGGCCTAGGCTAGCTTGGAACATGGCAGCTGATTAAGAAAAGCCAGATTGAATGCCGCCGATTTAAATAATTACTTCAAAACCCAGATTCCATTCCCAGCATCCACATATCACCTGTCCATGACTCCAGTTCCAACAGACTCAATGCTGTTTTCTGGCCATGTGGGGACTACATGTACATAGTGTACAGACACACATGCAGCTGAAACAGAGACATGACATGAGCTGAGTGACGACCAGCAACAACTGTGGGAAAGGTTTGACAGATCCTTATGTCATCCGTGACATAGGATGAGCAATGTGGGTTTCAAAAGTTTGTCTTCAGGAAAACCCTCAAAAAGTGAGCCAAGGAACATGTCCTGAGAGTAAACTATTCAATTATATTTAAATAACTGTTCTTGAAAATAAAATCCTGTCTCTACAATGTTGTTGATAATATCAATGTATGTACTTTTATAAAAGCAGTGTTGAGGGAGGTTAAAATTTTATTTTTTAAAATGTATATTAGAAAGTCAACTTGCTGGTAATAGTTTCTGTTTTTATCATTGTTAAGAATTTGTTATGCAATTTAAAAAATATCAAATCACAGAGGAGTCATAATTAACCAATTGATAAGATTTTCCCCTATGCTGAACACATATGGTTCTATAATTTCATAATTATTTTGTCAAATAAAACTACAGGTTTCATCTGTCACTACTAAAAAGTGAGTACACATACTTGCTTGTATCTGAGAAATATTAATATTAGTTCTGTGGCCCTTAATCAGATGTATTTCCCTCCTATCATCGTGCTTACCTAAAAACACTAAAGACTATCTCAGGAGATAATATACACAAATTTCTAGAAAATTCATTTATCAATTACAAAAAAGTGCCATCAAAAAGCAATAAAAGATTAAGTGCTAAATATTATAAGTATATTTGATATTCTGTTCCCAGAGTGGGTTTTGTTAATGAGGATATTCTACAGTGTTACTACCAACAGACTTAGTAATTATGAAACCTTTGATATTAACATACTGCTATATGAGTTGAAATTTTATACAAGAGAATATATAATCATATGCTAATACATACACCCTTAAAACTGTAGCTGAACAGGAATTCTCAAGGTGTCTGCAGTATAATGTATACTTACTGCTTCTACTGCTGGATTTTGATTTTCAATTTTCTATTTCTAAATTCTACTTTCCTTCACATAGGCAAAAATTTCCCTTAAATGGCAATCTCAATACCTGGTAATTTGTTTTTCCATGTTCTAATTTGGTATAAAAATATAAAAGGTGAATAAACTTTATTCCTACTTTTGATTACTGGACTTAAAATATTTTTCTATTGTATTAAACAAAACAGAGAATTATAGGATTTATTGGCAAATTCACAACTAAAGCTACACCTCCACTTCGAAGCTTATTGTTAAAGTATTTATCAGCTACTAAGTTGCTTACAATTAAATTGGCTTTTTAAAATTGCTCTGTTTAATGTTTATAGATGTTCCCTCCATGGTCCCTTTTTCCCTTCCTACTTGTGATTGCTTCCAGAGGAGAGGGGAAGAGGGGAACCTGATCTAATATTGGGTGAGAAAAAGAACTGAAGCTCTGAGGACCAGCTGAAAGAATGGAAACATGCAACCTCGGGAGGTAGGAGGGGAATTGGGGGGACCATACAGAATGCACCTAAAGACTCAAAGGGAGGGACCTTAGATGAAATGCCTGACAGTAGGGAGAGTGAAGTTATAGAGCCCATCTCCAACAGGAAGACAGATCATCAAGTGAGGGAGTGGGTTGCTATCCAACAGTCAAAGTTGTGACCCATACTTGTTCCTGTCTGAACAAACTGCAGGGATGGAAATGGAAAGGAGCTTGAGTAAAAGAAGGTTCAGCAACAGGCCCAAAGTGGGATCCAGCTCAAGGGGAGGTCCCAAGGCCTGACACTATTACTGAGGCTATGGAGCACTCACAAAAAGGGACCTATCATGACTGTCCTCTGGAAGACCCAACAAGCAGCTGAAAGAGACGCAGATATTTGCACCCAACCAATGAACAGAAACTACTGACTCCTGTGGCTGAATTAGGGAAAAGCTGGAAGAAGCTGAGGAGGAGGGTGACCCTAGGAGGACCAGCAATCTCAATTAACCTGGACTCCTGAGATCTCTCCAACACTAGACCACCAACCAGGCAACATACACCATCTGATAAGAGGCCCCAACACATACACAGCAGAGGACTGAAGGGTGTGAGTTTAGTCAGGGAAGATGTACCTAACTCACAGGAGACTGGAGGCCCCAGGGAGTTAAGAGGTCTGGTGGGTTGGGGGTTGGAGGGTCAGGACATCTTCACAGAGACGGGGGGGGGGGTGGCGGGGAGAGTTATGGGATGTGGAACAGTTGGAGAATGGACCAGGAGGGAAATAAAATTTGGAGTTTAAAAATAAATAAATAAATAAATAAATTTTAAAAAATGTTTATAGATGTTGCATGCACGCATTCATCATGTGTAAACTCTAACATATATAAATGTATATGTATTTATATCATCATATAACCAAATGGTCATATTAAGCAAACTATCTCAAGCTTTATGAAACATACCTCCTTGCTCCCAAGTTTATAGTGTATTAGTTACATAAACTATTTTCTAGAAAAAAAAATCCCTATTATGTGCCCCATTCAAATCCATGTGGTCTGTCAGAAGGTAGTGTTTGTAAAGTATATTCATACGCTGTACAAAAGCTCAAAGAAACATTGGAGGTGCAATATAATGGCTACTTACAAGCAAACTGAAGCTTTGCTTCTCTGCTTACAATTGTTCCAAACGAGTTTGTTGCTATGCACTGGTACGTTCCAGCATCTTGAGTTTTATTGGGGTTATTGATCAACAAGCTGCCGTCAACAACACTGTAGCGGAAATCCATACCAATGTCAACATCTGTTCCATTTAACTTCCACCTATAGTATAAAAATGCCAGTAGATAAAGTCTTGTAATATTAATCAATATTTCTAAATTGTCTAAAATATATAACAACTAGAAATACGGTGAAATATCACCAGTGCATTTTTTGAAGCATGGGAAAAGCATATATTAGAAATTGTCTATTCGACAATGGTGACATTTTAAGTATTTAAGTGAAGAGGGCTTTCTTTTGTAGTAAATGATGATAATCCAACTTTAGCACCTGTTCTGTGACTACATTGAATGCTACAAATAATTTAATTTCTTGTTGGGGAATTTTTTTTTTACACAACTTCTATAATTTTCTTCAAAACATGGCTGCTTAGTAAAAAGTCCTTTGTCTGGTTGGCCATCACTGTTTAAATAGGTATATCAGGAGGACAGAATACACCGGTTTCAGGGAAACAGCAGAAGAGTTGCTAAAATTGCAGCCAAGCTTATTTGATTCAGTTCTTAAAATGATTGAAGTGCCTGGTGGCAAAGCAAAGGAACTTGATTGATCTGAGATACTTTGGGGACCAAATCTGCCTGGCCATGGATCAACTGGATGATCTCTTTAGCCACTGGCACCCAAAATGTCAATCAACTGCCCCAGTGAACTACAGGCTATTAAGTAACCAAAGCAAAGAATGTTTTCTTGTCTTTCTGTTCCTTTCCATGGGTCACCTGTGAATCTGACTGTAGCAGTGAGCCCAATAAATTAGTTTTATGGGAACTCATATTTTAGCAGCTTAGCTTTGGTACGAAGATCTACAATTCTGTTCTCAGAATCACTAATATCCAAAGAATGTGAGCTTTATCTGAGTCAAATCATCTTTCAGGAATTCATAGAAATCCATACAAACTTTTGAATTAATATAATTCAACGACTGCTTTTTTGATAGCTTATGAATTACCAAGACTCTCACAGGAGCTGACAACATGCGAAAGGATTGTAGCACAAAGGAAATTGATTCAAATCAACAGAGCAAGTAGAAATGGAGAATTATTCATTTTACTTTCTTAAAATAACAAGAGCTATTACCTAAATAGAAATGCGCATGTGCATGCCCACCCAGTGTGATCTTCTTTATTTATCCCAGGGCACTGTGCTTATGAATACATAATGCAAAAAAATTTAAGTGATAAAACTGTCAGCCAGTTAGCTTCGGATTACATGCACAGCGCATGTGTGTGCCTGCATGTGTCTTTTGGAGACATGGTCACATGCAGCACAGGCTGACCTCCATCTCCCATTTAATTGAGATAACCCCATCTCAATTCTTCCATCTCCCAAGTGCTAGAGCCAGTACATCCAACATCCCATAGGACACATCCACTGGTGGGCCCGTTGCCTTTAAACTTTGAACCCGTGAAGCCGAGGCTAGCAGGCCCATGTGGAAGCCAGCCTAGTCTACATAGTGAGCTTCAGGCCAGACAAGGTTAAATAGGGAGACTTTGTCTTAAAAAGAAGTGGTTGGGGGAGGAAACGAACATCTTCCAACGAAGTCCTTGTCCATATTTCTCGTCAAAATGGGTCATGGTTCATCAGTTGTCCTGTGGAAGTTTCCCTATTCCTCATGCAAAGAGTGCTTTTGTCCGAAGTCAATTCACAGAAATTACTTTTGTATTCTCAATTCTGTCCATCTAGCACTTAACCCACTCACTATACACTTGCTGAGTTTAACACATTCAAAACTCTGCTTCTCAATTTGAGCTTTGAGCATATACACAGTTCATGAACCATGCTTGCCTCACCCAGCCCAGTGTCATGAGTTCCTTCACATCCATGTCCTTTAAGTGTAAAAAAGTCGAGTAACAGGAGGGCTGAGAAAGTAGGCTAGAAGCAGAAGTAGGACTTAGTTCTTTATGTGTTTGTGTATAAGAAGCCGGATATTAGAAACTGACAGTGTTTTTAGACTTTGCAGTAATTCTCTCTGTGCTCTGACACAGACAAGAAAGTAATAAGCAATAAAGAGAACAGCCAAGTTATATCACAGCTGTGCTAGCTGCACATGAGCCTCTAGAACTGACTGCCTGTGCCCTACACATTTGCTTTTAGTCAGCTGATCTCGTCTTGGCCATAACTCTCAGTTCAAATGATGGTAGAGCAATTTAATATGACAAATCTAAGAACTTGAAGAGGAAATTGCAATATAATATGAGCTGCAAGCAGAGTGTGGAATGTGGGAACGGGACCATGTGAATCTTTTCATAAGGCTGGCTGTGGCAATAATGACACCTCTATAGGTTTGTCTGCACTTGTCCTCTCAACCAAAAAGGCTGTGCGCAAAGTCCGTTCATCTACTTTATTGCCTGCTTTTACATACAAACAGCAACAGGGATGGGGTGATTTAGAAAATAACGTGTTTTATGAGACATGCAGTCAGGTCTGTGTTATAAAGCACGCCATGGTGTTTTACTGCAATGCAGTCAGTGTCGGTTCCAATTGAATGTGGATTGCATGGCGAATTTCTTCTCTGGTTGAGAAGTGAAACACTCTTGAAAATCTCATAATTTGCTTTCAATGTTTGAGGAATCTTTTAAGTATTGGTAATGGAGTGGCAAGGCTCATTTGGAGTAAATAAGGGATTTTCCCAGGGGGCAAGGCAAATTAGTGTCTTGTAAGCAGAATTACTTAGGGGAGGCACAGCTAAACTCTCTCCAGAGAGTGGGGGTTATATGCAGGCATACACCACCACCTTGAACCTCCCCAAGGTACAGTTCTGCACACTCTGCTAAGAAGTTTGTGTACAGATTCACTAGGAAAGAAAACAAAACAAAACAAAAAACAAAACAAAACAAGAAACAAAACCTCTGTTAATCGTTTGAACTTGACATTCAGGGAGGGGCAGGTCCTTTCTGACTTGGAATTTGTTCTCTGCAGACTCAGTCGAATACAAACTTCATAGCAAAGCAACTGTAACCAGTTACTTGACAGTTTCTTTTGCCTGGGAAGAGATACTGGGTGAAATAAGTAATGTCTGCCACCCTTAGGGAACTTTAATACAAGAGAAATTGGCAAGGGGCAAAACTTCTTACATTTTCTGGGTCGGGGTCAATCCTTTCAAAACTGAGGGGCAGAACAATGTAAAGAAAGGGCTCAGTTGAAGAAAGAAATGTAAAGAAAAGAGGTCAGTTAGGGTAGGAAAAACCTGCTGCTGAAGTGCTCCACAGAGCACTCACTGTTGAGATTTTTCTACTGGCTCAACCCCCTGAAAGTCAACACCAAGACTGGGAAAGTTCAGCTGGCAAGGTGTTAGAAAACACCTGCTCTTCTATTCATTCCCCTGCTCTCTCCTTCAACAACAGGGAGTTTTTAAACTCCCAGGTCCAGACTGCTATTATGTCACAAGCAAACTGCTAGAGGGATAAAGGCAAAAGCAGTGCACTGCCTGGAATTGCTAATGCATTTGATTAAAAGCTCTCCTCAGCTTTCCCCTGCAATCTTTAAAAAAACATAATAGGTTTCTGTTCTATGGCTTGTTTTAAATAACAAGGCAAGCCCCTATATCTAGAAACACAATGTTACACAGGCAATGTTAATTAAAGGTCACTGTTTGAGGAAAAACAATGCAGCAACTTGCCAAAATTGGCTGCAAAATTTGTTTTCATTTATAGCTAACATGTGAACTTACCCTGGGCAGAGTGCTCAAAGTGGGATCTATTAACTCGTCATTTATATATCTGAGCCACCTTGCCTCTTGCATTTGTTTTTACTTTGCAGTGTGTTTTCAAATCATTAACTGAGTTTATTGTGTTGTACACAGAGAGACAATGTATCCTGGTTTGGTCAGGACAGCATAGGGTTTACAGATGATGCTCTACAGTAATTACTAACAGTGTTCTTTCACTTTCAAAAATATCTTGTGTCAGATGACAAATGGCCTGTTAACTCAATTATCAAGCCCTCTCTAATTAGTTGTTCTTTTCTTTCTTGAATGTTCTTCATTTCTTTATCCAGGTGGCAGAGCAGGTGGCCTTTCTCAAAGCCCAGAGCATCTCTTTATTTTTTTTTAAGCCTTCACCATATCTACCCACTACGTCTAAATTAGGGGTCTTTTATTCTCTCAGCAAGCTGGTAACCACTGCTTCTGTGCGTTCATGGGAGTCTCGGAATTGCCATGCTAGGAAGATAGCACTTTCGGGCATTCATTTTTGTCCCCTAACTCTTACATTTTCTGTGCTCTGTTCGCTGATACCCCCTGAGCCTAGAAGGGTGGTATAGATGCATCTTATTTACTCTTGCAATAACTTTATTAGCATTAAATTTGAATACAAACAAAGTTAATGTACAAAAGATATGTGTTGCAAGGGATCATGAAATAATGAAGTGAATTTGTAGTTACTACATGCGGTCTCCTGTGTTGATTTTGATTTTACCAACATGCCTTTATCTATATCTAATCTATTATATCCTCAGCATGTTTTAAGTGATTGTCATAAGTGGTTCTGAATGTATCATCCAAGAATATGTGAATCTGGCCTTTGTGGCCTAAAGGCTTATGAAAATTAGCACAACTAAGAGGTCCCTTCACCTTCATTAAATGTTTAAGAAGCAGGCAATCAAACTGCCTTGAGGCAGACACTGTCCTAAGGCTAGAAGTGTGATGAACATGAGCATCCATTGCTGTCTTGTGATTCAACCAACTGCTTCAAGCTCCTGCTGCTGGGGTTTCCCATCATGATAGACACATCATGATAGACACGCCTGAACTGTGAACTAAAATAGACTCTTTTTCCTGTGTGCTGCTTCTGTCAGGGTGTTTTTACCACAGCCCATCAAAGAATCTCTCCGGCACCATCACTTCCTAAGAGCCGATCGAGTATTGTTTAACCTTTCTATTTGGTTACTTGTTTTTCACGTTTTGATTTTGGGGGATTTTCTACCCTTTTTGGTTTTTTGTTTTGTTTTACAAGATAGGGTTTCTCTATATAGCCTCAATCCATAGTCTAGAGTTTGTTCCATTGAACAGAACTGTTACTGAAGTTATTTTTTTAAATGATTTGTACATCTCCTATCATACATAACCTTTTTGTACATATTCTATCATACTAAAAACCTTTTTTTCTCCCCAATGTCATTAATATGCATGGCTGTTTTCTTTCTTGTTTTAAAATGTCCCATTTAGGGCTTTTATTAACCTGAAATTGATTTTTGTGTGTAATGTAAAGACATGAAGTCAGTTTGATTTCTTTCCTTAACCACATGGGCAAACCATTGCCCAGGGTAAGAAGACTTTTCAAATGCTTCCATCACTGTTGGAAATTTTAACTTTTCTTCTTTTGTTTTTTTAAAAGAAAGTATTTTCTTTATTATCCACTTTTAGTGAAATTAATTTTATGTAGAATTATTGGCACATCACTTTTTAATTCTGTCTTTTCATAGTTCAGGTCTTCTCTCTGTTATCATTTTTATCCCATCTCAGAGATGTCTTTTAGAATTGCCTTTAGGGAAATTCTGTAGGAATCAAAATTCAGTGCTTGTCTGCCTACAGACATGTGTATTCTGTTCACCGTTAAAGGAATTTCTAATTAACACATATTTATGAGATACAGTGAGAAAATTTGAGATTTACACAAGCTACAATATCAAATTGGGGTGCTTTGCATCTTTTATATTTAGAAAGTTAAAAATAGGCTTTTATTTATTTACTCATTTTTATTTTAATCATTTTAAATTTTTTTAAAATTTAAATTTAAATTTACTTGTTTTTGATACAGGCCCTCATGTACCCCAGGATGACCTCAAACTTGTTAGGTATTTGGAGACAAACTTGATCTTTTTTATTTTGCCTCTTTTTCCTAACTAGTAGATCCTAAATGTGGCCTTTCAGTTATATCACACCATGCCTTGGCTATATGGTTCTGTGGGTCAAATATGCATCTTCATATACAATGTATAGCCACTCTAGTAACTGAACTACATTCCAGATCAGAAGAAAGGAAAAGAAGATAGAATTTCTTCAGTCTTGGCTTATTTTGTTACCTCAAGTACTGGGATTGAATCTAGGGCCTTCAACTTGCTGTGGAAGTGTACTACCACCAAGCTGCATTCCTAAATATGACTTCTAGTTGCTTTGAAATACATGATGAATTGTCACAATCCAACTGTGATATACAAAGTTACAAGTAAGCCCTGCTTTCCATATTTTGATTAATGTTTCCAAACCTCTCTATTTCCTTTCCTCTCTTCCTTCATGTCCTCTGGCAACCATTCTTTCCCTGTATTTCTAAAACATCAATACTTTTAGCTCCTACATAGATGACATATCATGAAGTACCATTCTAAGTCTGGCTTATTTCACTTAACATAATGTCCTGCAGTGCCATTCACAGTGTGAGGTCAACAGAACAGGATTTCATTCATTTGTGACTGAATAATCTTCCATTATGTATGAGTCACATTTTTTGTCATCCTTTCATTTGTTGTTGTATACTCCAGGTCATTCCATGTTCTGGTCATTTTGTTTAGTGATATAATAAGCATGGAAGACCAGGCATCTCTTTCAAAGAATTATTTAATTTTCTTTGGGTATACATTAACATATAAGTGCTTGGTTTTCAACAACTTGACACAAAACAGGGCCAACTGTGAAGAGAGAACTTAAATTGAGAAATTGCTTCCATCAGATTGGCATGTAGACATGTCTCTGGAGAAGTTTCTTGATTGCTGATTGAGGGGAGGACCCAGACCACTATATCCAGAACAACTCTTGTACAAGTCGTCTGTGTTGCATAAGAAAGGTAGCTAAGCAAGCTCTAGGGAACAAAGTCAGTAAGCAGCATTCCTTGGTAGCTTCTTCTTAGTTCCTTCCTCTAATTTCTTGAGTTCCTGTTTTGGCTTCCATTAATGATGGGCTGTAACCTGTAAGCCAAATAAACCAGTTCCTCCCTGAACTGATTTTGGCCCAGCATTTTACCATAGCAACATTAAAACAAACTAGAACAGTATGAAGTAGAAAAAATTTAGTTTTATGAAGAATCATCTACTTTACATCCTTAACTTAGAACCTTATATGTTATATAAGGTTATAACGTATAACATATAACCTTAACTCCTAAAAAGAAGTTGAATTCTTTTTCTCTGTATCCTCCCTAGTACTTCTAGTAACCTTTTGCCTAACAATAGCCCCTATATAGTCTCCATTTCTTTGAGTTTATGTTTAATGCTGAAAATTATTCAAAAATTAAAATATTGACTTCCTTATTTTCTTTTCTCTTGTCGTTGAAGAGTCAATTGCTAGTTTAACTGTCACCTCATTAAAAATATTTGTACTAGGAATCTGGCTCTTTTATGGCCATCTCTTTAATCCAGTGTCCTGCAGTTTCATGGTTCTAGAAGTGATTTCAGTTTTATTTGTACTGGGATTGTGTTAGGCATCCTGAAGATGTAGTGGATGATTTTCATTAGTGATGAAAATTCTGTCCCTTCAGAACTTTCTTTTCTTTCTTTCTTCTTCAATACTCTGTGAGTAATGGCTAATTTTAACTTTAATATATACATGTTTTTTTTTTTGTTGGTTTTGAGTCTTTGTTTTTATTACATTTTGGATTTTTGAGTTTGTTGTTGTTGTTTTAGAACCAGGGTCTCATTATACAGTTGTTTCTGCTTCATTTTCTTCCAAGTTTCATTTTGGAACTCAAGATGGCTGACTGACCAAGACACACATAATTCCTTTCTTTCTCTCTTTCTCTCTCTGTTCTTCTAATGCACTCTGCAAATTTTGCATCCTTTCACCTCTTTCTGTTGCTGTGAGATGATTGCCTTGGGTCTGTTATCCAGCTTGCCAATTCTCTTTATAGACTCATTTCTTATGAAAATTACTGAGACTCATGGTCTAACATAAGTGATTACTAGCACTTTATTGTTCCCGAAGCAGGCAAGCTGATTTTTGGTTAGCATCTATTCTAAATTTGGAGAGCTTACATCTCTGGCTTCTTCTGAAAAATGATTTCATATTACATGGTCCCATAAGTCTAGGCTTTGTCTTACAACTCTGGTCCTTGTGAGGTTACATAAAACAAATCATCAAAATGACAACTCCTGTTCATTCTAAATCCGTTTACTCTAACACTTTTGAACTTCTGATTTTCCCGCTGGCCTACTGACAAAATAAAAACAATCTATTTTTATTAAAACAATGTTACTATGAATTGTTTATGTTTCCAATGGAAAGATTGATACTACCAGAAACAGAATCTCAGTACTTTTGTTTTCATGAAAGAATCATTTCCTCCTGTTTCTCAGGATACTTCACATTGCCTTCCTATAAACTTGCTTCCTCAATACTCTGTAATTGCTAATTTTAATAATATAAACATGTTTTTGTTTGCTTTATCATTATTATTATTATCATTATTTGTTGTTGTTGTTGTTGAACCAGGGTCTCACTATGCAGCACTGGGTGGCCTGAAACTCTACTATGTAGGTCAAGCTGTCCTTGAATTTACCCAGAATTACCTATCTCTACCTCTCAAATGCTAAGATCAAAGATATATGCCACCATTTCAGACTGGAAACACATTCTTAAGCAGAACAAACCTGATGTGAGGCTTTGGATTTCCTTTAACTTCACAACTGAGTTTCACTTTTTTCTCCTCAGAGTCCAAAGGAAACATGACATGACTTGGTTCTTGTACAAAAACTGGGCCATGCAGTGTGTAGTCATCTGAAAGAGAGAAGGTTCAATTGAACACTACCTTCCAATAGGAGCAACAATCAGAATCAATACCAAATTGAGAAAAACAAACAAACAAACAAACAAACAAACAAAACAATGATGCCCAAGATTTTGTCCCAGCTTCAAGATGAAATTTCTCATTGAAGAATAACCTTTTCCCCAGTATGTAGAAATGAAGACAGGGCTCCCCTGTCATGTGTTGATCATGTCTTTAACTGCCAGCATCCAGACACAGGCTGCCTGGCATCTCTCCTTCTTCCCTCCATGTCTTATTGTTCCATCTGCTTTGGCCCAACCTTCTATTTTCTTCACATTTTGTGCTTCCTACATCCTTCTTGTGCTGCTGTCACTTTGGAAAGCTTTGTAATGCCACAAAGTTAACAGTTTCCCCTTTTGTAAACAAAGAGTATAATAGGAAACAAATGATGATGATTTAAAAAATAAAATGTTAGTAAGAAGGAACAGCTCTATACTGAGCACACATGCAAGCATGCATGTGTGCATACACACAGAGAGAACCTAATTAAAATGATTATGCATATCAAAACTACAGAATAGTATGTAGTTATGATTCCTAAAATGGCTCTACTAAAGGATCAATTTTAAGCCAGCTGATCATGTGCTTGAATACACAGCGAAGGGAAACTGCCATGCATTTCCAAATCTTGCTTTTGAAGAAGAGAAATTAGATGTGTAGTAGTCATTTTGTCATGGAATAATAACAAAGCTCGGAGAATAAGCTACGAACCATAATTTAAGTATCTGGGTAGAGTATGTTATTAGGGTATATACGTACAAGCATTATTCAAAATACTTCTTATTACCTATATTTATGCAAAATCAATAGGATTTTCATTCTTCAAAATCATGTCCAGTTTCTATCTTTTCTCCCAGGTACTTAGACCTTTATCTTTCTTTTCAACCACCTGATTTAAAAGATGATTTTACTCTTTCTATGAAGGCTTTCAAGGCTTTTTTTCCTGTCTTTGAATCGTTAATTTCTTGAGAGAATGATGTACCTTACTCATTTAAACTCCCCATGTGGTAGTACCATAGATGTCTATAAGTGAGTAAGTAAGTATAAGTAAGATGTCCTATTTAAAATTATTTCTAAACATTTTCAAGTCTTTAACTTGCTTGTTTTGCCATTGCTTGACAAATAATGTGACAGAAGCACAGCTGGCTATAAGGTGATGCCATGAAGATTACAATCCTGCTACTGAGAGTCCGTTTCACATTTAGGCATGATTATTTAAAATATGTAAATTGCAATTGTGAGTCTGGAAAACCTTCATAAACATTTTTTTTTAACTGATAGGCAATAATTCCAGATAGAACTCATTGAGGTAAATTGGGACAGAGGAACATAGAATCAACTAGGTTTGATGATTAAGCAAAATCGGGCAAGATCATTTATTTTTAACTCAGACATCAAACAAAGCTTCATGTTAGTGTTGAGACATGAGGAAAATAATGGGGATAAGATTACTGAATAGAATTATATTTTATTCTGGAGATGTAAGGGCCACATATGATGTTGATGTAAGAAAATTCAGATAAGGAGTCAGGAAGACCATGAGTTATCATTTGAGGCCTTGTTCAGCTCCTATCTTTAGGATCTCTGGGAACCTACAGTCTCACAGTGTCTTAGTTTGCTCTAAAATAGTGATCCTAGAGTAGATCGGTTATTTTAGACTGATTATAAATGGGGAAGAGACATAATTACTCATAAACTCATGTCTCCATAAAAATGTACAGTTTCAACAATATTATATATTATTTTGGCCCTATTCTCTTTACTCCTGATTACATATGTAAAATCACTTCAGTGAGAAATTTAATGAGAGAATATAGGAGCTATTAAAAAAAGACAAAAGAATGGAATAAAAGCACACAGTCATGAGGTTTTAAATGCTTATTCATGAAAACTATATATCTTATGATATCTTATAATATCATATATTTGTGCTCCAGATTTTCAATAATTGCACAGATATTTTCAAAACAAGTTTAGATTACTTGTCAAGGGTCAGCTCATTTCAAGTATGGAGAATTTAGTAAATGTTTGGCACATCTATTTTGATGAAAAGAATTCTTTAACAAGATCACAGAGACAGCGGGGCGAGTATGGTAGATTTTCTCTAAGAGAGAAATATTTCTATTGTTGTCCCCAATTCCAAAATTATGTGTGTGTATATATAATATCAATCATCTCCATTCATCGGTGCTCCCTGATTTGAATTTCACACAAAAATATGCAGTCTATTACCAGTAATTCCAAATAGGAATAAAACATAATAATGATTACCCAGGATGCAGCTGGAAGGCTGTGGATTAACATCTGTACTATTTCTCAATGTAGCCAAACTGTATTTAAATAACAAAGGGGATATTTTTTGTGTATTTTATAATAAGAATTGATAATAATGTTGCTTTGCATTTGCTATAAATAACACATTCCATCTAAAGTTTTATTTTCTTTTAGTTAACCAAGCTCGCTGCCTGGAAATCAACATTAGCATAAAGGGAACCGTATTTCAACACTTGTCTAAGGCAATGCAGAGTTTTTAGTGATTGGGCCATTTGGTTTCCTGAATGTGCAGGGAGCAATTTGATAATCTTTACCAGGCCTGGTATAGGAAACAGATCTTAGCTTTTAAACCTTTAGCCCTTGATAACCAATGTGCTTGAGGAACAAAAGAGGGGTTTTGTTTCAACCAAACTGTGGGGTGCCAGCTTGCATGAAACAAAGTCTCAGGAGGGGGTCTTAGAAAGCAGTGCCAAGTATAGTCTAAGTACACTGGTCACAAAGAGTCTCTCAAGTCTCTTGAAAGCACACAGAAATTCTGTATCTGCCATCTTCATAGCCAGGAAGATAAAGTTCATCCTTAGATCTTTCACATAAGTTATTCTGTGTCACTAGAAGAATGAAAGTGATTTTAGTCTAAACAGGTAAAGAGACATTTTAGAAAATGGTGAGGGAGTCAATGTCCAAGCCAGGTTACAGGGTACTTGTATTCTAACTGTGCTAGGTTTGTGATATTAAATCTCAGACTCACTGACTGTACTAAAACACATTGGCTTTCCCAAACCAGATTTAACATCAATCTGTCAGTGATTCTGTACTTTATATTTATTGATTTTTTTATGTATATGAGTAGCTTCCATGTGTGTATGTATATCATATACCTAGCTTGCTAAGGAAGCTGGAAATGCCTTGGAACTGGAGTTACAGGCAGTTGTGTGCTGCCAACTGAACCAGGGTCCTCTGCAAGAACAGTCAGTTCTCTTTCTTATCTGCTGAGCCAACTCTGGGTAGTTTTCTTGCACACTAAAGTTTGAGAAGTAAAACAAAAACCCTTTCTGATACTTGCTCTCCATTTCACTAGAACAAAACTTTAGGCAAGGCTGACTTCAGAGTCACTCTCAGATATTTTCCTTGAGCAAGATCTAACCCACAGTTTGTGCTTGATAATAACACAGAGACAATTTTAGTGTAAGTTGGACTCACAGCTGAAAGGGAATAGCCAAGAATGGAAAACTACAAAACTGAGACCCACAAAAAAAAAAAAAAAATGGATGGCTGAGCATGGTAGCACACGACTGTCATTTTAGAACCTTAGAGTCAGAGGCAGGACTATTAGAAATTCAAGTTAAGGATAGGTTACATACAATATTTGAAGCTAGCCTGGGCTATACACTGAGGTTCTAACTCAAAACAACCACAAAAATGTGAAATGGGATGAAGTAAAAGCAAAACAGACTGAAGAGACAAATGGACAGATTTGGTAAGTCCTGGGACTAAAGCTGTACAAATGAAGGCATCCTAGAACACTCATACCTTCTGGATGTTGAGTATGAGACGTCCTAGAGAGTTATACTGGGCAGATAAACAGGATCTCTGGGGAGGCCAAAACAGTAAACAGACCTAGAGAAATGTTTTATTCTTACTTAATGCATATTGCATACCTGCATACCTGCTGTGATGAATTGCTAGTAAGGAATCAATCTCTCTCTCTCTCTCCCTAAGTGAGAGGATATAAGATCAATGCTTTTATTTCTGGCTTTCCTCAGAAAAGAAAAGTTATTCCAAGCCTCACTGTCCTAGTGACTTGAGTAAAAAGGACTAGTATTGTCATCAAAGTTCTCTTGGGGAATTATGAAGCAGTACATTATAATATTTTGGAATTCCTGAAAATCATAGTCAAGAACCATGGTCTTATTGGTTTAGACCACTGGAAGGAGCTCCAGATATAGGTATTTAATGTGGATACTGATATGATAAAGCATGATTTCTGGCTTATTTTCTTCTGATTGGAGAATCACAAGACTCAATTTTATCACAGTAAAAGTACTCTGTTAAAATTCACCAAGTCTTTACATGACTGCAGAATTTAATGAGTAGTCAAAACCAGGATAAAATCATAGCCTCTGCCTCCATTTTATATCTTCTTTTGCATCATAACTCTGGGTTAGACTCCTGTTCCACTCTAAAAATTATTTATATATATATATATATATATATATATATATATATATGTATATATATCTTTCTTCAGAACTGAATATAACAAGATAAGAGTACTGAAGAATTTGTACATTCTGGTAATAGCAGGCCTGTGGCAGATCACCCTAGGATGGTACTGCTCCCTGCATGGGAGACATTATCCGATGGTGAGGACTTAGTGGAACCAGTCATCTCAGTTTGGGAACTGAACTGTGTCTAGAACTACCAGGATCTTACGAGAGACACACATCTGAGATAATGAACAATGGGGCCATAGTCTTACAAAGTTTATTTATGCAAACTCCTTTTGGCTCATTGACATCAAGGAGGCTGCTTCTCTTGCTTCCTACTGTGACTACACTAAATGTAAAGTCCTGTCTTGTTTCTTTACCACTCACACTCCTGTTTTAACTCTCTAGACAGGTAGCAGAGCCTGGCTTGGTAGAGCCCCCTCAGTCAGTCCATGGCCTGAGACTCTAGT